TTGGGATGAGCACTGGGTGTTGTACGGAAACCAATTTGACAATAAACTTCATATATTGAAAAAAAATAAAATAAAAAGAAAGAAAAGAAAAAAATAAAAAGATTGAATCCTTACGGTGAAGGATTATGAGTGAGCATGAACACTGCAGCTACTGAGCAGGAGGAAAAAATATACGTCTGTATATTCATACCTGAACAGAGCATAATAAAGTTGCAGAGGACCAAGGTATCAGGTAAAATCTTAAAGACTACTAAGGAAAAAATAATCTACCTATAAAGGAATAAAAATAAGACTCAAAAGAAAAATTTCTGTACCTATGCAACCTGGAAATAAAGCTAAAAAAGGATAGTGCAAAGAAAGAAAATTACAGGCTAATTTCACCTAGAAATATACATGCAAATATCTTAAAATATTAGAACAGAATTCAGCATTGTATTTTGCAAACAATCACAATTAAGCAGTTCATCCAGAAATTTAAGGATTAAATTAGAAAGTTAATTGATGTAAATAAATCACATTTCAAATTTTAAAAAATACATACGATTATCTCAACAAATTCTTAGAAGTCATTCATAATATTTAATACTCCTTCATAATAAAAATCTGAGCAAGGAGATGGAAGTTCAAAAGGAGAACTATCAAAACCAAAAAGCAAATATCAAACTTAATAGTGAGACTTGAGAAGCATTCCAAAGAAAGTCAAGAGCAATACAAGATTGTTGGTTATCTATGCTGGCTTATTTGTAAATGACAGGACTGCAACATGGAACAAAGAGAATTTCAACCAAACCACCAGAACCAATTAAGTCTGAATTATGCTGGATATAAAAGATGGAAAAGTACTTCATGGAGACAGTCACAAAACACAATTGGAGGCAAAAAGTCCATATTTTCATAAAATACAAAGCTTCAATAAAAATCACAGTAAGTCTTTTTATAATGGCTAAATGTAACAAAGGCAATTATGAAGAACAGCAATGTGGAGAGGTAACTGACATACCGGATATCAAAACTTATTAAAAACTGTGGTGGTTAGAAAGACCAATAGAATCCCAAACAGAACCACGCATTTAGGAAAACTGAATGTGATGACATTATAAACTAGCACAGAATATATAAATTAATGGTACTGGGACAGTTATCCACATGGGAAAAAAAAAACTAGATTACCTATTTCGCATTGATTTTGTACAACAAAGTCAGTTCTAGGTGGATTAAAAATATGAATGTGAAATGCAGAACATGTAAAAAAATATATATAGAGGGGGTGCCTGGGTGGCTAAATCAGTTAAGGGTCAGTCTCTTGATTTTGGCTCACATCATCATCTTGTTGTCTGTGAGATCCACGCCCCCACCTCCAGACACCCTCCCCCAGTGCTCTGTGTTGACAGTGTGGAGCCTGCGTGGGATTCTCTGGCTGTGTTTCTCTCCCTCTCAAAATGAATAAGCTTAAAAAAAAAAGAGAAAAAAAGAAAAAGAAAATAGAGAAAAATTTTCTTGATCTAAGACAGGAAGGGTTTCTTAGCCAAGACACAAAAAACACAAACAATAAAATATGAAAATTTTGGCTATATTGAAATTAAAAAGTATCTGTACAACAAAAATGAACACAAATATAAAGCAAAAAGACAAGCCACAGCCTGAAAGATATTAAAAACAAACAGAATTAGTATAGAATTAGAATAAAGGACTCTTAACAAGTTAAGAAGCAAACATATAGCCAATTAAAAAGTGAGCCAAAGATATCAACAGAAAAATCTCAAATGTCTAATTAACTTTCAAAAAGACAATCTTATTACTAATCAGAGAAGTGCAAATTAAAGATGAAAATATCATTTCACATCCATTAGATTAGCAAATACAGAACTAAAAAATAACATCATCAAGTGTTTGAAAGAATGTAGAGAAACAGAATACCCTGCTAGTGAAAATGTAAAATCTGGTATAAAACCACTTTGGGAAGCAACTTGGCAACAGTTAGTACTTAAACATAAGCATACCCTCTACCAAGCAATTCTATTCCCAATAACATTATTAGAAAGCCTCTTGGAAATGTGGACAAGGAGAAAGGCACACGAATGGTCACTGCAGTTTTTAATATATAATACTTTAATACAACAGAATAGTTTGTTTTTATATAATAGAATATCCTATGGCAATTAAAATGGACTACAGCTATACGTATGAACAAGATAAATCTCAAAATCAATAATATTTAAGGGAAAAACATTTTGCAAAATGATACACACACATATGATTTGAAGTTTAAAAACATAGTGAATACTGTACACACACATATATATAACATATAAACCTAGGTACTAAAGTATCAAATAAAGTATGAAAACACAATTGGGTACATTAAACACCAAATAGGGACAGTAGTTACAGGAGGAAAGAAGAAAGAGAGGCTTAACCATTTCTGTAATTTTTATTTTTTTTAAAAATATGAAAAAATGAGGCAAATCTGGAAAAATGTTAACATTTCTTAAAGCTAGGAGTGAATACACAAGTATTCATTATCTTACTCTCTACTGGTCTCTACGTGTTTAAAATTCACAATGAGAAAACGTGGGAAAATGGTTAATTTTACATAAACAGAACTTTAACAGGATGTCAGGTATAAAATCTGTCTTCCAAATAGCTGTCCAAACTTTTTTTAAAAGTCAAATCGCTCATAAAAAAGGTAGCAGAAAGTGTCGCCTCATCTTAACAGTATAATTACGGCTCATTATTTGTTATGTATCTGTCATTATTAAATTAAGTTGCTAATATGTTCAAGCATCGTGACGTTTAAATAAGGATTACAAGATTTTAGAACACAGTAGAAATACATTCCACTATACTGGGGATTTTTAGGTGTTAGGTAAACCTACTGTATGATAGGTGATGACATCCGAATGTCACCACTTAAATTTGGATGTCCAGATCCACCCAACACGAAACAGACAAGGCTGTGAAACTCTTCTCTCGTTCTATTTTAACTTTTTATCCATTTAACACTGATTAAAAACAAATACAAAACACACAGGGCTTAGAAAAATGACACACTATTTTGCACACAAAGGCCATCCATAGGCCTTGGATTTAGAACTCCGCTTAGAAGTTGCTTCTCCAAACCTTTATCCAAAACGTTGCTGAGTTATGCTAGAAAACAACTCAAAGTTGTATAGGCTTGGGTTCCAGTTGCGTAAAAGCGACCTTTTGGGCTTTCACCAACTTAACGAGAGGTTGTTAAAAGCTTTGGAGAGACTTTGTTCCCAGTCGAGCCGGGGCTGGGCAAGTGCCAGCCACTCTCATCTGCGGAAGACCGAAAAGTCTAACGCTTTAAAGGGGGGTCTAGCAGTTTTGTCACGGCGTCCCGCTAACAGCAAGGGGCTGGAAGCCGCCCCCTTTCTTCCAAGCACCGGGACCCAGTGAGGCGCCCAGAGGCTCCCTGGACAGTGTCCCTACCAAGAGCCGTCAAGTCAGAAACAGCTGTTTGACATCGAAATTCCCCACACTGGCGCCCTGTCCCCACCTTGATACCCTCACCGTTGGGGTTTGGTTGAGGGGGGGGAGGGGACAACTCAGCCCAACAACGGCCTCAACCGTCTCCTGCCAAGTTCCCGCTCCAGCCCGCCAAACCCGCGGTCTGAAGAATCCCACACTTACTGGAAAGTGGGGCCGGGTCCTGGTCCTGGCCCGGCCCCCGGAATTCGGCGGGTCTCCCAGGGTTTCGGGGGAGGCGGCGGCTGGGAAGCCATCTCCTCCGCCTCCGCTCACTCCTGGTCCGCGCTGGGACGCTCCAGGCCCGGGTACACTAGTACCTCGCGCGCCAGGCGCAACGGGCAGAATACCGAGCCCTCCACCCCGCCCACCCCTGCAGTCAGGACGTCGCTTGTGGTGCTTTGCTGGCTGGGACTTGAGGATAGGAAGATGCGGCTAATCCACGGGGGTGGGGAACACTCTCTTTATTTGCTTAAGCAAGAATTTCCATTCTAAACCTGAGGCTAAGGGCTCATCGATATTTCTAACAGCGACTACAACTTCCTAGACGTCGGAGTCCACGGAGGCTTCTCTGGGACTAGTCTGGCTCTGGCGGGGTGTTGGGTCCCACCGACTCCTACCCCAGAAGGGGTGGGGATGGGGTGAAGGGTTGGGGCGGTGCACTAGGCAATTTTTCTGGTTTCCCTACAAACGAGAAGGGGAGAGAGTTCATTCAGGCCCTGCGAGAGGACCTGGTACTTTCGTTCTAAAGCTCTCGTTTCCTCGGGGAACAGAATTGCTACACGCAGTAGGTGCGTTGTCTTTAGTCTTCCCCGTTCCCTCTGGGAGCCGGAAGGGGTTAAACCTTAGGCTCCGGCGTCGCGGGAGAAGGTGAGGCTGGAAGGTCCGAGGGGTGGGAGTGCGGCTTGGGCGCTGGAGAGGTTTGGATGGAGGGGGTCGTTTCCTTTCTGCTGGAGCGACCTTGTTAGCAAGGAGGGGTGAGTGGGAAGTTTCTTGGACCTGACTGAAGGGGGTAAGGGCTTGCTTGGCCGAAGGAGAGACTCGAGGTTAGATCTTGGATGAATTTCCGAGACTAGAGTACATTCTGCAGCTGAGTGTAACGGTAGCGCAATGAAGTTCTGAAAATCCACTTCTTCCCACCCCCATGAGACGAATGACACCCTTCTCTGTGGAAATGAGTATTAAAAGATCACGGGATGTGAGACTCAGTCTGGCCATTTTGGTGTTTTTTCACTCGCCCTTGCCCCTTCTCTGTTTGCAACGAATGGTTGCAGTTGTCGTCCAAGAGGTGAAAATAAAGTCCATCGTCCTCTCCAGGTATCATTGTTTTGTGGAGAAGGGACCCCGAAACCCGTAGGGACGCTGACACGTGGGAGGACGTTCTGTTGCAATGACTTGTTCCGATTCTGTCTGTAAAACAAGCGAAAAGCAAAAAAAAAAAAAAAAAAAAAAAAAAAAAAAAAAAAAAAAAAAAAAAAAAAAAAAAAAAAAAAAAATCTTAAAGGCAACCAACAATGAAAACCTTACAGTATAGGATACATTTCTCAGGGCTTGCTTTCAAAGATAATAAACCTTATATGAAACAACTTATTTCTGATGTCTTATGAAATCCTTTCAGTGCTGTACATCAAAATAAAACAACCAACCTTAAGGCATAACGCATTTCCTCCTTTTAATGTTAACATGCCAACTTGCTTGAGAAGTTGCTAGATTGTTGCTAAATGAAAATCATCTTGAGAGGGTTTGGAAGACTGCTCCATTAGTAACACATAAACGCCAAAGAGAGGGTTTTGTTTTCTCTTTTAAGACCTTCAAATTACGTGGGGCAGGAGGTTTCCTAATTCTGGAACAGGTTTGGGAACTTCTCAGAGCCAAAAGATTGTAATGTGTTATGTATTGACTTTGCATGCTACTTTTAAGTGTGCTTATTGGAGAAATAAACAGTCTTTGAGCCAAAGGAAAGAAAGCATCCCCCCCTTTTTTTTCCAATTAAAAAGTTGTTTTTACTTTAGTGTACTTGACAGTGTTACATTAGTTTCAGGTGTAAAACATTGTGATTCAACTTCTCTATGTTGATATTCCGTGCTCACAAGTGTAGCTACCATCTGTCAGCCTACAACCTATTATAATATCATTGCCTTTTATTCCCGTGACTTATTTCACAGACTTATTCCATAACCGGAGGAAGCCTGTATTTCTCACTCCCCTTCCCTCTGGCAACCATCAATTTGTTTCTCATTTTGTTTTTGTTAAAAATTTTTTTTTAAATTTCACTTATAGGTGAAATCATATGGTATTTATCTTTCTTAGTTGGAGTTATTTCAGTTAGCATAATAAACTGTTAGGTCTGTCCATGTTGTTGCAAATGGAACGATCTTATCCTTAGAATGCATCCATTTGTTTTTAAGTTTATTTATTTTATTTTGAGAGAGAGAGAGAAAGAGAATCAATCCCAAGCAGGCTCCTCGCTGTCAGCAAGAAGCCCACGTGGGGTTTGATCCACAAACTGTGAGATCATGACCTGGGCAGAAATCAAGAGTTAGATTAACGGAATGAGCCACCCAGGTGCCCCTAAGAAAGCATCATTTTAATAAAAATATTTAACTTAAGTCCCCAGGGAAATCTTTGATACAAAGTGACCTTTTAAAGAACTTACTCAGCCACTTATTTATCAGGGAGGAGGGTTTGTTTCTCTTTCTGAGTTAAAGATTAATTCTGAATTAAATGAAATCTTTGGCCTTAACTAATGGAAAGGAGACAAAAAGAATGAGACAGAAATAGTTTCTCTGGGAAGGGAGTGCAATCAGGGACATACTTTAAATGCTGATAATCAGCCCCTCAGTGAATGCCACCCCTTGTCACTATCAAACTAGCAGATTAAATGGACTGGCGGAAGGAATTCATATCACTTATATGATGATGACCACACAGAGCTTCTCTATGTACAAAGTGTTCTCCAAATACTCTGTGTCATTTCATGAAAATGGCCTCGAGCCCAAATGTACTTAGGCAACCCTAAATCAGAGCTTCAGTCTCAGTGTCTCAAAGTTCTCACTGGTGTATCCAGGCATGTCTGAGTTTCTTCTCTTTCTGCCTACCAGCTCCCATATTGTATTCACCTGAGTTAGAACTCAGCCAGAGGGAGTCTGTTTTTTGTAGTCCTGGCTGCTGAACTGATTTTTATGGTGAAGGGTTCTGTATAAGATACACTCTACCTGCCTTCCTCACTCTTTATGTGAAGGGTATGCTGTTAAGTGTCCATGAACATTTAAAAACTTGCAAGTAAGAGTGGGTTCTAAAGGGTTGGAAAACAAGCTAATTCTAAGAATCACATCTTCAGAGTAAGGAGTTGGTAAGAGCTTTACCTTCCCACAAATCTTAAGCAAGTTCATTTGGATTATAAAACTGCACAAATTAAAAAGTGCCACTGTTTTTTTTAATGTTTTATTTATTTTTGAGACACACACACACACACACAAACACAGTGTGAGTGGGGGAGGGGCAGAGAGAGAGAGGGAGACACAGAAATAGAAACAGGCTCCAGGCTCTTAGCTGTCAGCACAGAGCCCGATTTGGGGCTCAAACCAACGAAGTGTGAGATCATGACTGGAGCCTAAGTTGGATGCTTAACTGACTGAGCCACCCAGGCGCCTCTCAAAAAATGCTACTGTTTTTTATCTGCATGACCATAGTTATACCATCCCACAATACTGCCATGCAATTATTGTTTTATAAAATATTGCCAGTTCCTCATTTTAAAGTAATATGAGGTGGTACAATAATCAGAATATCTATATTTGAGAAACAGAATGATTATGTAATTTAATTTTAGAGAAATATTTGAGAAACAGAATGATTATGTAATTTAATTTTAGTAATTTAATTTTATTTGGCAATAAGAGTTTTATATTGGATTTTACCCCATTCTCTTGTATTTGTTTCTATGGGAGTTTATTCAAATTGCAAAAAGTAGCAACTTGTGTTAGATAATAGTTACTCTAAATTATTTTGCGTGTAATTTGTGGGTTTTTTTTTTTTTTTTTTTTGGTGGGGGGAGGTTTTACTTGTGCATCAGAGGAGCAGGTTTTTCTCATTTTCCTAATGGTTATCATTTAGTTATTTCATCAAACTATAATTGGTATTTTTAGATCTACTGGTCAATTTGTTTTAAATACTTGACTGCTTAGCTATCAGTAAGGCTAGTAAAATCTTATCTAGACTGCTCCGATTATTTTTTCCTAGCAAACTCATTTTTAATTTCTAATAGGGAAAATTTATTGAATTTACTACTCTGTGTTCCCAAACAGCCCTGAATGGTATAAAATAACAAAATTTCACTCTGCATTCTTTGTTTGAATTACCCTCCTCAGAGACAATTGTTCTTGATTATTTTTATTTCTTTTGATTGATTTAGTTAAATTGACGTACTTTATCAATAATTCAGAATGCTAAGCTAAATTCCTTGACAATTAGAAACTTTTACCTGATCCATCTAATAAATGTCTTTCAAGTTTATGTTTAAATATGCATAAAATGAGAGGGATATTGTTGAAGAGTATGAAATAGTGTTTTCAAATTAAAGCTAGTTTTTATCCCTAAAGGTGACATATTTGTCTGTGAAAGTAAAACACGAAAGATATTCATTACTTTTTCTTTCTTTCTAGTTATAATTATTTAATATGTTTCCACTGACGGAGGAAAATAAGCATGTGGCCCAGTTGTTGCTCAGTACTGGTACCTGTCCAAGATGTATCTTCAGATTCTGTGGTGTGGATTTTCATGCACCTTACAAACGTCCCTACAAGGTACTTTCATTTTGTTTCTAAAGAAAGTTTATCTATTCTAAAATGAATACCTGTACATTTGGGGGAAAGTATCCATAGCTCTTAATTAAATTTAAAAAAAAACTATAATAAAACAATTCCTGATAATGGTAATTATGGAATTTCCACTAGACCATAAAAGTGTAAGTTCCTTCTTAAGTGATTATATCTGACACTTAATGTAGTGGGATCTTTGTGAAGCACATCCCTGGTGTATGTAATGTTTGTATATACTTCTCCCAAAGAGTAGACAGATATCAAAAAATAGTACTTCTAACCAGATGTTAGTAATATATGTGACAGGAGAATGACAGTCCTGAGATCTTCTATTAAGTGGAAGATCTATTAAGTGTGGATTTGGCTGCATTTTTTTCTTTTTCTGTTTTCTGTATTACCATTTGTACTTACAAATAGGTATTTGTAACCCTCTAGAAGTAAATGCTTACCATCATCATTTTTTACTATTAATAACAACAAAAATAATATACAGGGATCTTTGACATTTATGATAACATACAGAGGTTTGACTAGCAATACTTTCACATAAAATATGTAACATATTTTGTGAAATATACTTGATTCTACTAGTGATGGTCTTTTTAGAGACAATAATTATATATATGTGAATATATACCTATATTAACAGTAATATGCACACGCACACTCTGTTTCTTACAATTGACAATTTTTTTACATGTTTATTTACTTTTGAGGGAGAGTGGGGGGTGGGGGATAAGGGAGGGGAGACAGAAGATCTGAAGCAAACTATGGTTTGAGCCTGATACAGGGCTCAAACTCACAAACTGGAGATCATGCCCTGAGCGGAAGTCAGACACTTAACCAACTGAACTGCCCAGGCACCCCATTTTACAGTTTTTAAAAATTGTTCAGGAGTTAGAAATATAAGTCATTTCCCTTATGTATTAGTTGTTTGTATTATTTTGGAAATAATAATTATATCCAGTGTTCATATAACATTATTATATGTCAAGCTCTCATTTAATCCTAATAATAACCTATCAGGTAAGTACATACTATGATTGTCTCTATTTTCAGATGAAGAAACTGAGGCACAGAGAGGTAAACAACCTGCCCAATTTACACAGCTATTAAGTGAGCAAGCTAGGATATGAACTATCTGTCTGAATCCAAAGCCTAGAATTTGGAGCTAGAAGACATGGATTTGAATCCCAGTTCCAGCTTCAGTTTTCTCCTCTCTAAATGGGATTGATGATAACATCCACTTCACAGGATTTTAAGGGACAGTATCTAATAAAGTATGTGAAAACACTTTGAAAATGGTACATATGCTATGATGATTAATATATATGTGTATATTCGTTTATACACACTGTGACTATACAGTAATAAGACTGGTTTTGTATAACACTCCTTAACACATTTTTTCAGACACATTATTTTATCATTCTATGCATTTGTCGTAAGATTTAAAAAATATATCTTATAAAGACACTTAGTCTTACCAACTTTTATTTGTATCATTTTATGTAAATATGAAAATATTTGAAGACTTTTTTTGTAATATACTTAGGTTTTGATCTGTTCTAGTCATATTACTATTTATGTACACATACACATGTACTATGTTATACTGACATAGAATTTAGGTAATAAACATTTGTGTAGGTCACAATATACCTATATGTGTGTGTATATATGAATATTTCTGTTAAAGATGAAATAGGGGAGCTAATGTCTTAATAAAATAAATTAGATTTGTTTGAGTGTAAGATTTTTTATTCTTTAGAGCCAGTAAATTGTAACCTGAGTGGATTTCAAAAGTATATTTATTCAACAACTGAATAATAAAATCTGTCTAATTTAGGCAAAACAGAAAAAAAGTCCTCTGAGATTTTAGATGAATGGAATGCCTGAAATATGAGAACAGTTTCAAAGAAATGCAACTTTTAACATTCTACTACAAAGGGTGACAGAAATTAGGCAAACCAGAGTGTAGTAGAAGACTTCTTTCAATTAATGCATACATGGTTTTTGTAATTATGGTGCCTAATTTCAGCATTGCCAGCATCTGTTTACCTTTGTTTAGTAATTCGTCTTGAAATTGTTTTTACTTAATATACGTATAATCTCTATTTTTTCAGAATTCATATTAAATGAATATTGTACAAATGAGGTTTTAGTGCTTGTGAGATTATTAAATAACCTAGCAATAATAGAATTCAGTTTGTATTTCTATTTGTTAATAATTAGAAGCAAAGCTTTTTTAAAATCTAAAATTAGTGGGGCGCCTGGGTGGCACAGTCGGTTAAGCGTCCGACTTCAACCAGGTCACGATCTCACGGTCCGTGAGTTCGAGCCCCGCGTCGGGCTCTGGGCTGATGGCTCAGAGCCTGGAGCCTGTTTCCGATTCTGTGTCTCCCTCTCTCTCTACCCCTCGCCCGTTCATGCTCTGTCTCTCTCTGTCCCAAAAATAAATAAACGTTGAAAAAAAAAATTTTTAAATCTAAAATTAGCAAGTGAATGATCCTCATGACATAACTACAAACTAAATTACAGGCATACTTCAGAGATATAGAGATTTGGTTCCAGATTACCCACTAAAGCAAATATCACAATGAAGTGAGTCAAATTAATTTTTTGGTTTCCCAGTGCATATGAAACTCATGTTTTCACTATACTGTAGTCTTTTAAGTGTGTAATAGCATTATGTCTAAAATGTACATAATTAAAAAATAATTTATTGCTAAAAAATGCTAACCATCAGCTGAGCTTCCAGAGAGTCATAATCCCTGGTCACAGATCACTATAAAAAATATAATAATGGAAAGGTTTGAAATATTGTGAGAATTACTAAAATGTGACACAGAGACACAAAGTGAGCAAATGTTGGAAAAATGGTGCTGATAGACTTGCTTGATGCAAGGTTGCCACAAAACTTCAATTTGTAAACACACAGTATCTGCAGAGCAGAATAAACTGAAACACAGTAAAACGGGTTACACCTGTGATAAATTTGTTAATGGAACCTTTCTGCGTCAGATTTAGGACTTTAGCTTCACTGATATATGAAACTCTTTTGGAAAAATATTCACACATATATTGGAGGAGTTACAGATAATTCTCTTTTAAATTCCCCAGAAAGCCAATGCAGGATAGTAAGGTTAATTGATTTCTCCAAAATTGATATAAATCAACATTGTATAAGTCTGTGATATATAGTAATTTCACTCCTGTTTTCATCCTAACCTTAAGGGCATTGTCAAAAGGTTATTACTTTTTCCAAATTAACTTTCCAGGAGTTGCTCAATGAACTACAGAAATTTTTGGAAACTGAAAAAGAGGAATTAATTTCGGATGTTCCAAACCCACCTCCCAAGAAAATTCGACTACAAGAACTAGAAGATGGGATTGATGGGATTGATAATCTGAGTCAAAATGGAGAGGGGAGGGTCTCCATTTTGGAAGATGGTAGCATTGCTTCTAAGAACTCAAATTTAAATGTATGCAATGTATGTCTAGGAATTCTTCAAGAATTCTGTGAAAAAGAGTTCATTAAAAAGGTAAATAATCTGTTTTTTTATTATATGTGCAATTATGTAGAAATTTTCAGTCGTAAGGCCTAGAATTTTTGAATCTAAAGGAGCAATACCATTCACTTCAACTTGTTTAACACCAATGGATCATTAAAACATTTTTACATTTTTTTGAAAAAACAAGCCGACTCTTTTCAAATTACGTTATTAACAAGATATCTGAAAATTAATGAAATATGTGTCCTTGTGTTTGTCATGAGTGCTACTCAACTGAAGAAAATATAGCAGTTTCCTTCTGCTGTTTAACATAGTTAGGAGTTAGAGAAAAGCTCTTAGTCATACCTATTAGTGTCTTGAAATGACAAGTGTTACCGTCTTTTGGAAGGTACATGATTGAATGTGGGATGGCCTTTTGTTTCTTAGCTGTCAGGAGTGCCAAATTTGGCTTTATTTTGCTTAAAAATATTTTTTAAATTAGGAGGTGATCTAATAGAAAACTATTTTGACGTTCCACAGATTGTTCTGCAAGTGAATCCTGGCTGTTTTGAACCTTGTGATATCAGTTGTTCAGGTTATAGTTAGCAAATATTTGATTTCAGGATGTTTATGAGAATTCCCAAAGGTGAAAGTTTAGAAGTGTAGTGTGATCTCCTAGACCAAAATCCACGTTATGAAGATTAGTGTAAAACTTGCAGCAATTCCTGAGAATTTATAGAATACTGTTTTATGTAATAAAAAAATGCTTTTATGTAATACTTTTTTAGGTGTGCCAAAAAGTTGAGGCCTCTGGTTTTGAATTTACCAACTTGGTATTTTCAGTCTCCTTCCCACCACAGCTATCTGTAAGAGAGGTAAGGTCATTTAAATGCATGAAACTATATGTGAAATGCATGCTAGAAATTTCTCAAAAAATGGAGATGTAAAAATATGCCTTACCATATTTTCTACTTATTGTGTACTTACTGAATATTTTGATGATTGAAAGCATGGCATTATTATAGCTGCTTAATAATGTTGAATGAATGGATGAAAAAAAGGAATTATTGATTAAGTTAGTTTATCATAGGACTGTCTCTCTTTTATTTATTTTTTTAGTTTTTAATATTTATTGTGTCAGCAGGGCTGAGAATATCACATGGTTTCAGTCTTCTGTGGGAAGTTATATAATAAAAGCCTAGCGCCTTTGAACATGAAAAACATCCCAAAGGCCAGGAGTCCTCTAAAGGAATTGAAAGGTAGAGATTTCAGAGAATTTCTCTCATTTTCAATATGTAAAGTGACTAGTTTAAGTCACTTTTTGAAGACTTAGTGAAGCGAACAGTGTTCCTTGTGCCATTAAAAGGACTGTCTTTTTTTTTTTTTAAAGGTCCTCATTCTGTAGCAGATATTCATTGAGCTTTAGATCTGTGTGAGGCATGTTGATCAGAGAAAGAGATTTGACCAGGACTTCAGAAATGTTTTGGGGCAGTTGTATACATTTTATAATGGTCTTGGGATGGGATCATTTCAGTTATGATGAACCTTCTTATTTTCTGGAGTCCATGAAAAAAGGGAGAGAAATGGCCTCATGTTTATTTTAACTTTTTTCCTTTGTTAAGTGAAGAAAATAATAGTAGTCATTACTGTAACATTCTTGTGTGTCAAAACTGACATGAAAACATAAAACTATCTTTGTTAATACTGTTAAATGAATTATAGGGAGAATGACCCCTGTAATCTCAAATTATAACAATGAGTTCTAAACAAATTCATTTATGGGTGTAAGGTGTCTTTTCCCTAAGAATCTAAAAGTGTCAGCAGAACATTATATCTTATACCATCACTCTCCTTGGTTGAGCAAAGTATGTTGTAGCAAATTCTATGTTTATTAGCCTCCAAAAGGCCGAAGATTAACTTACGACTTGTTGAAGCTGGTTGAATGACAAAGAGCTGGGAGGTGAAAAAGAGTAGAGTGTTTTTAAATAGTATCTCTGTCGATGACAAGATGGCTGAACTAATAGAATAAAGGGGATGATGATGAGGTACAGAGGTTTATAAACACATAAAATCATTTTTTAGTGAATCATCAAAGCGTTTTTCACGGATAGGTCATTTTCTGAATCCAGTTTTGGTAGCAAGAAACCGACTTCTGAAAGCTAAGTAACATAAAAAGTTGCAGTGTTTGAGTAATAAAAATAGAAATATGAAGCATATTTTCTAAGTGCGGTTATATATCTTACCACCAAGTTCTTCATCTCAAAGTTTATATTTTGACATTAAAATTTGTATTTTCCATTTTTATCACTTAAGTGATCATTTTAACATATCCATTTAATAGTTATTGAATACTTATGAAGTATTTATATTCCATATTAGAAACAGAATATTTCTAATTCTGCTTAAGCTTTATTTATTTTTTAAGAAATATTTATTCATTTTTGAGAGAGAGAGCGAGCGAGTGAGCATGAGCAGGGGAGGGGCAGAGAGTGAGGGAGACAGAGGATCCAAAGCAGGCTCTGCCCTGACAGAAGCGAGCCTGATGTGGGGCTCGAACTTATGAATTGCAAGGTCATGACCTGAACCAAAGTCAGATGCTCAACCGACTGAGGCACCCAAGAACCCTTCTATTTACTTTTTATAACTGATTTTAACCACAAAACTATTTAGCAGAAATATGTGAGCATTCCAGTTATTGCAGAATTAATACATTTCCACAGAATAGTGTGTTCAGTGACTCATTGTTTTCCTTTATTTTTTTTATTATTTTTTTTAATGTTTGTTTATTTCTGAGACAGAGAGAGAGAGAGCATGAGTGAGGGAGGGGCAGAGAGAGAGGGAGACACAGAATCCGAAGCAGGCTCCAGGCTCTGAGCTGTCAGCACAGAGCCTGATGTGGGGCTCGAACTCACAAACCATGAGATCATGACCTGAGCCGAAGTCGGTCTCTCAACTGACTGAGCCACCCAGGCGCGCCTCGTTGTATTCCTTTATATTGAGTAATACATTTTTACCCATTCTTTTCTTAAGAATATTAATTATTCAAAAAGTATGCAGTCCTACATGCTGTATACTATGCAGGTTTCTTCAGCAAATTGTGTTTATGGTTCATTTTGTAATTTTCTTTCATTATTACATGTTGTCACTTTCTTGTATTGCTGTCTTTTATTACTTCTTTGGAGTTAAGATATGATATGTAGGCCAGAGTGGATATAAATTGCTATTCAAACTAGTTAACATATGTGTTACATATCCCAATTTAAACAAATTACACATTTTTGGGGTATTCTTGCATTTTGAATATAAATTCTTGACTTCTCTAGTGACATGTTTCTTCTACATTGTAGTTTTTCAACTTAGAGCTTGTAAAACTTAGAACTTATTTTTCTGTGTGTAAGATAAACATTAATATGTGTGGAATTGATTGATGCTAGTTATCTCATAATTCAGAGTGGAATACACAATTGAGTGAATTTGAATGATTCAGTGTTTTCCACTTCTAAAGACAAAAATTATGATCACAGATACATTGATTTGAAAACAAATAACTTTTTATCGACATGGTAATAGTGTCTGTCTCCTTACTAAAGAACTAAGGGAAAGGATGAGCTCAAGTAAAGGTGTTTTTTTTTTAATCAAAGTATTAAATTTATATTAATTCTTCCATATTTGGCCCTATCAATCCCTTCTGGCTACAGCTATAGTTTTTATTTATCATTATTATAAATGCACTAATTTAAAAGCTTAGGAAGAAAAGCTTGCAGTTGATATAATCATCATCTTGCACTGAGTTTGGGAAAATATGGAGGGAGAGGTAGAATACATCTGTGTGTGTTTTCCTAGGAACTGTCTTATCTGGTTGGGACAGTTTTAGACTGAATAGTGCCGAAGAGGAGGAAAACAAGCAAATTAACTGGTAAAACCCTGTTAGACATCAAGTAATACATGGTAAGCAGAATAAATGGAAGCAGTATTCAGGGACTCACAAAAGACAAATCTTGAACCTAGCTGGATATAATACTTAGAGGCTCCAAAGTCTTTATAACAGTACACAAAATTCGAATGATAAGGTTGAGATTATAAGGGATAGTATATCATGTATATCATTTATAAGTATATCATTACCATAATGATGACTTTGTGGATTTGGGCTCACCACTTGAATGTAACAAAGGAAGGATGAGTTTTTTTTATGAGAATCAGATTTGTTAAGAGGAGAGATATGATGGTGTGATATGGCAAGAAATTATATACCTGCATTGAGATCAGAGATCCTGTGAGTGGAAGAATGCTGAACACCATCCAGAGGAGAATAAAAGGAGAGAGATGGGATAGATACAGGCATGGAAGTGTGTTGTATGGCCAAAGAAGAGGTGATGAGTTGCAAACATAAGAGAGTCATAAAGGTTAGTGTTTACAGTAATATCAGGGACTCCCAGTGTCTAGGCACTTGATGCAAATCACATTTGGTTAAAAGCACATTGATGGCTTTTGAATTGGAACAGTGTCTTCTCCAAAGTAGTGGTTCTCAAAGTCTAATGTGCATAGGACTCATTTGGAGAGTTTCCCAGGCCCCATCCTTAGAGATTGTGATGAGTAGGTCAGTTGGACCCATGAATTTGTGTTTCTAATAAGCTCATGGGTGGTGTTGGTGTTGCTGGTGTTGCTACAAAGGACCACACCATGAGAACCACTGTCCTAAAGGATAATGGCAGAAATAATCTACTCTGGTAATAAACTGAGAACTTTTAAAAATTTATATTCTTTTTTTTAAAATTAAAGTTTATTTATTTTTGACAGAGAGAGAGAGAGAGAGAGAGAGACAGAGCATGAGTGGGGGAGGGGCAGAGAGAGGTAGACACAGAATCCAAAGCAGGCTCCAGGCTCCGAGCTGTCAGCACAGAGCCCGATGTGGGGCTCGAACTCACAGACTGTGAGATCATGATCTGGGCTGAAGTCGGATGCTCAACTGACTGAGCCACCGAGGCGCCCCTAAAATTTATATTCTTGATAGGAAGAGAGAAACAAGCATAATGAGAATATATTCTACACTTTTTTTTTTTTTTAATCCTACACTTTTGATAGGTAGATGTCAAACAGTCCAAAGAAAAGGGAGTCAGAGAAAAATGGCAGAGGAATCTGGGCTGGAAGATAAAAGGATTCGGAGGTTCAGAGAAAGTGCAATTCAGACTTTAATTAAAACCAAATTATCCCAACCAATAAAAGAAAGTTTAAGGATAAAAATGCATCTCAACGAAGAAGAAATTGGGGGATCTCTTTCTCTCTGTATTTATATAAACATTTGTATTTATACATTTATATGTATTTATTTTATCTTTTATTGTAGAAAATTACAAAAGTAGCAAGGCTAGCCTAATGAGCCCTTAAGTATATATCATCCAACTCCAGTTGTAATTTTTTTGCCATACTGAAGTCAGTTTCCAAAAAAAGAGATGGGAAAGGTAGAGTCAGAGTAATGCAGATATAAGGAGGAGGCTTAGGTCTGTGATAGCAACTGGAAAATAAAATCTCTAATGAGTAGAAGCTTGCAAGAATTGCTAAGGAAGACTTGGGGTACTTTAAGTTATGATTATAGGAAGAAAGAGATGAAAAAGGGGATATGTCTGCTATTTGGAACTGATGGTATATTGCTGATGGATGATACAGAGAAAGTGGAACTTCTGAAAATCTTATTTTGCTTCTGTCCTTCCTATGAAGGAAAATGATGTCCAACCTAAATGGGTAGAATGATCATTGCCTGGTGAGGGAAAGTGAGAGCTCCACATGGTGAAGCTGCTCTAAATGGGTTCAGGTATTTGGGCCTGGTTGGATGACATTTCAGGATGGATTGAGAAAGAACTTGCAGTTATCCATG